TGATGCCTTCCACTTCAAACCAGATGTCTTCAAGCGCGCTCTGCAATTTGACCATCTTGAAGAGTCCAAGGCACACTGCAAAGACATGCACCTAAGTTCAAAATATCAATGGTGTTTGCCTTGCAAGTGTCCTTTAAACACCATGACCAATGGTAAAGAGTCAAATAAAACTTTTCCTGGCAACTTCATATTGAAAACTTTTTTACTTGAATATGTAGCCCAGCTTCAATCTGCAAAGCCACCTGCAAGGCATCTGCAAAGCCACCCCAGTTCTGGAAGTGAGGTGAAAGGAGCTGGAAGTGGCCAATGCCTTTGCTGCTTTCAATGGTTCTTGAAACAAAGAACCAGCTCTTTCAATGGTGCCAAAGAATCTTCAAAAACAGGTTTGCCAAATAATTCCAAGCTGCCAACTCCAACCAGCCAAGCTGTAAGGATCACTGCAAGGTGGCCTAGAAGCCACCCAAGCATCTCCAAGGCAGCCTGGAAGCCCTCAAAGATCTTCACCAAGAAGCTGCTCAAAGCCATGGCCTGAACAAGCTCCCAAATGAATCTAAAAAGGAAACCTTCAAAAAAGAAACCTTTGGACCATTGGAAACACCAAAGATTTGTAGTCTAGTGTCATTCAAGGTGCTGCAAATCCCAGGCTGAAAGTCACGCGCTGCAAGGCCCACTTGAAAAGCTGAAAGCTGCTGTTTCTGCAAGCTTCAACTGAATGCTGCAAGCTGCAACCCCCTCCAAACCCATTCTTCAAGCTGCAAGCCCTTGCAAAACAGACTTCAACTGAATGCTGCAAGTTGCAACTCCCTCAAAAAGAAACTTCAAAGTGCACCCTTGCAAAGCCCTTCAAACTGCAAGCTCTCTACCAAACCACTCTTCAAGCTGCAAAACTCTGCAAAACATCCTGCTGAACCTAAAACCTTTTTGGACACCCAAGCTCAAACTAAGGGTGCGCTTCAAGCTTTCTTCAAGCTTTCTGCAATCTAGAAATGACACCCCTCCAAGCTTTCTTCAACTCTTCTTCAATCTTTCTTTGAAGCCTTTTCTTCCTTCTTAAAAGGATTTGCCTTCAACATCTCCACCACTGTGTTTCCTGCAAGCAAGTGAGGGGGGGGGTTGAAGCTGGAAGGCAAGGCTCAAAGGCTTCAATATTCCAGATTCTAAAGTGCTACAACTCATTGAACATTTCTCAACCCACCCTTCCAATGCTGTTGCTGCTGTTGCTGTTGCTGCTTCAGATGTCCATTGAAATTTTGGAGATTTCCATTGAGATTGGATGCCTTTTGATGGAGATTTCCATTAAACATTTGAAGATTTCCATTGAGATTTGATGCTTTTGGAGGCTTTTGGATGGAGAT